GCACTCTTGCCCTCCGTCTTGCAAACGTAGCAGTGTGCTGTAAATGCTTGCAGTACATTTAGGCATGCCGGAGGCCGGAGAAGCCCGGTGGTGCTGTGGTAAGTGGTTGTTTTGTCGTTGGTGCCGTCGAGTCGGTGCTGACTCATGGTGAGTGCCCGGTGCACGGGAGGATGAGATACTGCACAGTTGTTCCGATGCTTGGTGTTGCAGCCACTGTGCCAGTCCATCTAGTCCAAGGGCTTCCATGTTTTCACTGCCCCTCTGCCCCTCTGCTTCACCAAGCATGATGCCCTTCGAGAGGCATCCGTCTCTCCTGACAGTATGTCCAAAGTACAGGAGACAAAAATCTCGCATCTCATCTCTAAGGAGCATTCGGATTGTACTTTTTCCAAGATGGATTTGTTTGTTCTTCGGCAGGCTGTAGTACTGGTAGTAAGTGCGAAAGATCAGTGGTTCAAACCTACTGGCCTCTTGTTGGGAGAAATATAGGGCAATGTGCTTCTGTAGAGATTTTAGTTTCTGCCCTGTAAGGTCACTGTCGTCAGGCTGCCATGTTTGTGTTTTGTTTTAGTGGAAGAAAAAGCCTTCTGTTGGCATGGGTGGTACAATGTCTCATTGACAAACTGGTGCAATGAGTCTGGGAGGGACTACTTTGGAATGATCTTAGAACAGTAGGGACTGCTTTAGAATAGCTTGCTTTATTAGATACTCACTATATTAGGATGAGAATTAAACTCACAAAATGATCACATTGTATTTGTTACATTTTTTGTTTAGCTCCTTTCTTTAGTGTGGTAACATGATTGTCACAGGTACTATACACACACACGTATATACCAGGTACTATATATAATCTTTACCTAAAACAAGAATTCAGGGCTGGGAGAGATTCCCAATTCTATTGCTTTCTTGTGGGCTGTATGTCTCTCAGCTTCTCACGAGAAGCGCACACCTACATGTGTGACAGAGGACTTTTCATCTTTTAACATGATATCGAGTGTGTTAAGAGTAAGAATCTTCTACTGGTTTGACCAGAAGCCTTGGATTAGCAAAGTTTATTGCTTAATGCATCGTATCCAATACCTACTTACTTTGTGGCATACCATAAGTAAATGATATACTTGAATATAAAACTAAAAAGAGAGTTGATGTATTTTACTTTCTGGATTCCTCTTGGTAGTCTGGGATCCGCACCATCCCATCCCAACCCACCTTTGCTAATTGCAAGACAAGAGGGCAAGTGCTGGTGTGTTTGATTTACCAAATTGTGAACTATTTGCAGTAGGTGTATTATGTGCACAAGTCCAGAAAGATTTCCCAGTTGTCATGTTTTTTATACAATTAAAAACTTTTGTGATTTATTTCAACACAAGGTATCTATGAATGAATTTTAATTTTCACAATGTTGTAGTTATTCTAGTAAGAATCAATCCTTGATTTTTTCATATTGACCTAATGAACTTATATGATTATTTCTCTAGTAATATTTAGAAATAGTTAGCATCTGCTACCTAATTTCGTTCTACTCTGAAGTACTTCTCAGTTTTAATTTTAGAAATTATGGTGTTCATAAATTCTCAGACATTAAAAATAGACTGAGCAAAATTACAACAGCTCTGTGTGGAAGAGTAACAAAATGAGAAATCCAGAAATATTCAGCATTTCAAAATTAAAATACTTCCATGTCATTAGTGTATAATATTATCCTAAACAGAATACAGAAGCCCTGGTGGAGCTGTTGCATAAGCATTGGCTTGCTAACTGCAAGGTCAGTGTTTCAATTCCACCATACACTCAGAGAGAGAAAGATGATGCTATCAACACCCATATAAAGATTTCTAGCCTCAAGAATTCTATAAAGGGTAATTGTGAGTTAGAATTGACTCAGTGGCAGTAATT